CATTAAAATTTCATGGAAAATGAAAAGAAATAGTCAAAGACTAATACTGGTACAGAACAGTGCTGTACCTCCAATCAAACTTTTATCAAAATAGGCAGCTGTGAATCATTTTTTCTAATGAAAGCTATCTTTTATAGATAATGCAGTGTCTGTTATGATAAAATAAGAAACTGAAGTCCCCTGATCAACAAAATGTGATTCTTTTAGAGCCATTCCATATACTGAATAATCTTAATAATTTAAGAGGTAAAGTGTATAAAAATGCAAATTCTATTGAAAGAAAGGCAAGAGAAAAAGTAGGACTACATTCATTTGTGCAAGAAAGACAGGATAAACATCACAAGAAGTCCATTTCATTGATTGCAACTGTCTAAATTTCCATGCAAGATAAATTGTCTTAGGAAAAGTAAAATAAGTATTCTTATTTAAAACAAATGTTATTTTATTAAAACATCTTTACCTGATATACATTTTCAAAGATAATGACAATAAGAAGGAATGGTTAAATACGTTGATCATCTGTGATCATAACAGAATTTCAGAGCCAAACTCTTACAGTCTATGCATTTTATAGATGATGAAGTAGAGAGCCAACGAAGTATTTAGTGGCTTGTCTTAACCAGAAGATTTTTTCTAACTCAGTGGGAGGTCTCTGAGCAGAACATGCAAGTAGCAAAGCTCATATTGCTGTTTCATGAAGAGTGAGTGTTTGCATTCTGGATGTTGTAAAGAACAAGAGAACATAAAGTCACTGAAAATTTTCTTTAATAAGATATAGTATATATTTGATTATACATATACATGCAACAAGGAAAATAAAGCCATTTTAATTTAAAAACTGTTTGCCTACAGTGTTAAAATATAAAATCTGTCAAGTCTAAAGATTAGTGAAAGAAGACAACATACATTTTCATTTTTTAAAAAAGCATTTTCCTAAAACCTAGACCTAGTGTGCCAAGCACTATCCTAGATGCTGGATATTTTAAGATAAATAAGAAAGGAAACTATTAATAACTTTAGAGAGGCCCATAAATTTTGTGAAACAAAAACATCATCAATGGATACCTTGTGATTTCTTAAGTGTAAGAAGTAAAAGCATCTTATCTGTCTTTCTTTGAAAATAATCATTTAAGTGACTTATTTTATTTCTAAAGAGATTTGGTAATTAATTGTAGCAACTATCAAAGAGGAAAAGTTAGAAATGAGTATTAGTTTAGGTTTCACACAACCCACTGACCCTATTAGTCCTATAAGCTTAGTTTATAGTACTTTATTAGTAGAATGCAACAAGTCATGTTTAAAACAGAAAACTAAGAAAGAGAAGCATAAATACATGTTGTAGAAACTGGGGGTGGGGACAACAGAAAAAGTTACATTCTAGGAATGCCACTTCCGGTGCTTGATGTTCCACTATAAGCCATGATATTTTAATTGACTTTCAAAATCATGGGAGCATGCAATCATAAAGCCAATGATTAGTGTCAGAAATGAGAAATAGATTAAAACATGAAAAGAGCTAAGAGCACACAAAGCAAGTCATCAAACACCCTTCCTGCTTATTCTTCCAATAAAACACACAGCTGGGCCCACCTTACCACATCCTAACTGATACCAACTTTGCCATTAAAGCCAAACTGGACTTACTGCAGCCAGTGATGGACTTGACTGTATGCCAAGTACATACCTTGTGTAACTGAATATGCAATGGCTAAAACTAAGAAATTAGGATAAAATTATCATCAAGAGGCTCTAGCATTCACCACGGATTCAAGATTTGAACAATTACCATGCACACAAAGGAACTTATGTAGGACAACTGAGAGTAGCTTAGTACAAGTGTTACTTTGTAGTCCCTGTCGAGGAAAACTTAAAGAATCCAGAATCCAGAAGATTCCTAGGGTTCCTACCATGTACATTTCTAAATAATGATACAACTCTGAGTAAATGCCAAATGATATGGACAGCCTCTACCTAATTCTCACAAACCAAGTTCCTCTGGCTTCCTTCAACCAACTTCCTTTGTTGCCAGTTCATTAAACATGCTGTAAGCATGAATTATTACTCCACTCATCTATCTGCTGTTTGAGGTGAGTATGGTTAAATACACTTAAGTTGTGATGTTGCTTTGAAAATGTTATTTTATATCATTTAAAATTTTATTGCATCTTTTTATAAATCAAATGATTGTTCAAAAAATTATTTTAAAAATCATGGGCATGTATAATGTATTATTTGGAACTTATAAAATTTTTCCCATAATAATATGGAAATACAATCTTTGCGAATACAAAAAAGAAAAAATTGTAAGAAATAAGGTAGCAAAATTCTTAAGAAACACCCAGATCTAAAGATACATTTGAAAATATTCATATCTATCTATGGATGGACCGATGGATGGTTGGACGGATGGATGGGTAGATAGGAGTGACCAAGTAGCATTAATCCCAGAATGTAAGAAAGGGTCCACATAAGAAAATCATAGTAATCTGCAACATAAATATTATAAAAAAGAAAACAGCATGGTAATCTCAATAGACACAGAAGAGGCATTTAACTATCAAAGCTATTTAAGATTGGGGAGGGAAAAAAAAAGCCATTTTTTTAACATGACAAAGGATAGCAAATAGAAGTCTACCTAAAACATACTGCAAGGAGAAAATTCAGCCACATTTTCTTTTAAGTTGAGATCAAGGTATAAATACCTGCTCCATCCAATCAGCTATTGTTAAAGCCAATATAGAAAAATTAGATAATTATTAGAACTAAAACTGTACAAGACCGCTGAACCAAATCACATAAATTAGAAGTGTGACAACCCACTAAAAGGACCAAATTTTAAAATGACACCATTTTTTTATAAAAACAGAAAAAAAAGATCTAGAAATAAGTAACCTGAATAACTGAAGTCCAATTTAAGAACTGAAAAGACCTATACTTTATTCACGGAGAAGATTTTTAACACTGCAAGCATGTTGGTATTCTCCAAATTAAATTCAAAACAATTCAATTAAATTCCTTTTTTTTAAGATTTATTTATTCATACAGAACTGGGATACAGGCCAGAGATGTGGAGGGTGAGAGGATTCACCAGGGACAAAGTGGGGAGCTGAACAGGCAGGTCAACGAAGTACACTACTGAGGAGAGCAGCGGGCAGGTCAGGAGAGGTCTGCCTCGCCATGTATATCTCCTCCAGGGCAGGCAGAATCGAACTCATGCAGAAGTGACTTAAGCTTCTTAGTGCTTTAACCCGCTGCACCACCAGGGAGGGTCCTAAATTCTTAATAAGAATTATTGGATACCCTGACAAACTTATGTTGAAGCTTATAGGTTAAACCAAATGTTTAATACTGGCAAAAGGAAAACTTGACTTCACAGATTACAAAGTCACTGCAACAACAAGTATGGGTACTACTGGTCTATAGAAAGTCATGAAGCATTTTTGCTTGAAAGACATAAAAAAAATACATCATAACTTTTCCAATGACCCAAAAAAAATGGGAACAGACTAATAATTCAACTGACTATACTAGACAGCCCAGAAAAATAATCACTTATTTTTAAGGCTACTTTTCTTTCACGTATCAAAATGTCACGCATGTATGGGTCTGAACCATGAATTTAACACATGGTTATATAAATTTTATTTCTTTCAGTCTAGAAAGATTAGACCTGGATATTATTGGAACCCAAAGATTCAACTTCCATCTTCCTAAGATACTCTTTTGTACAATTTATGTCCCAGTTCTCTAACTTTCCTCCATCATGTCCTCAAACAAAAAACATTGTTCACTCTCCCTGCTTGGGAGGAGAGGGGTTATGGGAGAAAGACAGAAGTCAAAAACATGTCAAATAATATGTAAATTTGCATAAAAAGTGAAGTGATGCTATTTATGTAAAGCATATAAAATACATAATGTTCAGAAATATTAATTCCATTCCCTTTTCTCCAAGTACCTAGTCTGATGTCACTAAATATAACTTCACAACTCACTCCCACCCTAATTTCTAGGATAGAATTAATGAGGCACAATGCAGTATCTGATGAGGTGTAACAAGTGAAATACAACTCTTCCTACAGAGTAGCAGGTCTTATGTTTGAACATGCATCGAAGTCACTTGGAGAGCTTATGAAAGCACAAATTGCTGGATTTCATTTCCAGGAGTTTCTGATCAGCCAATTCAAGGTGAGTGGCATTTATAACTAATATCCAGGGGATGCCAATGCTCCTTGTATAGACCACCCTGAAGAAGAATTGCTCTACAAAACAACAGTTCTCAAGTGGGGACAATTTTGCTCTCAGGGGAAAATTGGGCAATGTCAATGCATATTTCCAGTAGTCATAACCTGGAGGTGCGGAGGTGGCAGAGTCAGTATTGACATCTAGTGAGTGAAGACAAGGATGCCACAAACATTCTACTATGCACAGGACATCTGTTAATAGCAAAAATTTTCTAGTCAAAAGCATCAAAGGTCCTGCGATGAAAAACCCTACTACAGAGTAAATCACAGCTATTAACTAGGTAAAAAATTTGAAAATTTTGATACAGAATAGTCAAAAATTCACTTTTTCTTTAAGTATTGATAACTCTGAATTTTAACTTATTGAGAGCAAAATAAAGTTTTGAAAATACTATTTCTTACAGGTATATTCAACTACTGCAGGAAAATAGCATTTATATAATAATATTAGTAGATTTCTGATTTATATTTCCAAATTAACATTTGACAGGAATTTTAAAAAATTATAAGAGCTGATAATTAATGAATAGCTATGTTTAATCTTAAGCAGAGTAAGAAGCAAACAACCTTTCATTTTTGTACTTTAATACATATTTATCACAAATATTTTTAATGAATAATTTAAGGAAAGGCAGTAGCTACAGCAGTCATCAATCCCAAATGAGCATTTCTGAGAGAAATTTACAAATGTATATGAATACGTATAAATGTGTACACACAGACACACACACACACACACACACACACACATGAACTTACGCCAATGGGCTGAAAAATAAGTCCATCCATTTCATGACTGACTTCTTTGGCAAAATTTCCTTCAAGCAGCTAAAAAAATTAAAAAAAAATGTATTTTTTAGAACTACAGTAATCAACACAAAACTATTTATCCTAATTTTTGGTAAGCTTTATAAAAACTTCTTAAAACATAAGCTTAAAGAACTAAAATATAAAATGGGAGTGGATTGAAACAGAGGGACCTAGGTTAAAATATTGTTTTTTTTTTTAATACATGAAGATTTCCTTTCACAGCAGACAAAGATATTCTTGAATAATAGTATAAAGCCCTAACTATGCCAACCAAAATGATGAATAAAATATTAAAAACCTATTTTTAAATGCACTGCTGAGCCAACATAAAAAGACAGGTTAAAAGCAAAGTGAAAGTAGAAACTCTGTGACCTAATAATTAAAGAAATGAAAACACATATACACAAACAAGGAGACAGCAGAGAAATTTGCTGGAGATTGGCAGAGACTTGTTAACATAAACTAGTTCAGAAATGGAAATTGCAATCCAAAAATACATATTCTATGTTTCCCCAAAATCTGAACCAGAGAATGTATCCTTTCTTTGCATTCTTTTTGATTTTTCTTTTTTAATCAATTTTTCAAACAAAGGCTGCATTACTAGGGATACACAGTACAAAATACAAATAGACGTTTTTTTCAATGCCGTATCTGAGCAATTATTGGTCCAGTGCTCTCTAATTAGTTCTGAGCAAGTGTTTTTTAATGCTTCTCTTCACAGATTTTTATTATTTTGAAGAACTAAACATGAATATCACTGATGGAGGCCTAATCATTGATTTCTACATTTCAGGGACAAAAAAGAAAATATTTTCAGAGAGTCAGGTAAATCATATTATACAGTCTGGCCAACTAGCAGAACATTTAGGACAGTTCGAGGATTCAAATATGTGTATCTAAAATGTTGGGTATGCCGTAACTTACACATCTCTTTTCACAGTCACATCCTCCTGAAACTACTACATTGTGGGGAAGATTTGCAATCCAAATCTAACAACTAAATTTCAAGCATCTTCCACTTGCAACAAAATCTGTGATTCTCCACTGAAACTGTGACTTCAGCTTCTCTGCCATTTCTTTTCTTCAAAATCTGTAATTTCACTAAACTGAAGGCAGTTCAGCAAAGTAAATAAGAGCAGTCCTACTTTCTAACTAAGTGTTTAAGATTTAAAAGATGTCTATCAATATCAATCCCTATCTCCAAAGAGCTATGTTGGGAACTGGCATGGAGTTTCCAAATGCAAAACTCTACAGGTAGATGCCAGGCCATTAATGTGAACAGAACTGCATATGAGAAAACTAGGGACTACTGAGAGCTATGAACAACTAGACAGGTATTCCTTATCTATAAGCCAATTCAGTATGTTTTATATACTATATGAGGCTAACTTTCATGATGCCTACCAGTTATGACTTATGATTAATATAGAACTAAGTATACATAAAAGTCATTTTACAGTAAGTGCTTTAAATACAGATGTTTAAGGACTTTGACGGACTAGAAAAGCAATTATATCTTCCTCTATGGATCAGTTTTATTCAAATGTTAATTGACTCCTAATTATATATCCATGATGGGAAAGAGAAAGTGAGCCCAGGAAGAGGAAGAGAGGTAACACATCTAACACCATATTAATCTGATACTGTTATGAGAATATTGTATATATTACATCATTTTAGCCTCATAACAATCAAATGAAGTCAGATCCAATATTATCCACATTTTAAAATGAAGTTTAGAACCTGCCCAAGGTTATAAAGCAAGTTACTGAGAATCCACATCATCACGGCTTCAGGATCCGTGTTTGAATAAAGTACCACGGCAGAACCAATAAAAACAATCTAATACAAATAATTGGCATAAACTGGCAGAAAGCACATGTAATGTATTATCCCAAGAATATAAGTAAAATAAAACTGATTACAAGATAGTTTTAAAAGTGGTTAATTTACTTTATATAGATTACTAAAGAGGTGTTATTTAAAAAAAAATAAAAAGTTAAAATCATCTCTCATTGTCAAACACTTGTCACAAACCATCTCTTATTTACCTTTATTCTCTCCAGGGAAAGCAACAGTTACACAATCCTAACTGGTCATCGTATCTGTAGATTAACTATTTTTCTCTAAATTATGTCCACATAATACGCCAGAAATGGCTTTCTAAACTAAATAATTTTTATGTGTCATAGTCACATCTAAAAATCCTTGATGATTCTCACTGCCTACAACCCAAGTTTCTTTGGCATGATTTTTAAAGTTCTTTTTTAACAGGCAATCTCTCCAAAATATTTCCCAGAGTATCTAACCCAGACTGCTGCTGGTAAAAAAATACAAGTAATGTGGATACAAGAGTATGACCCACTAGTTTGGAATGTATTAAGCACTTTTAGTAACACTTCAAGAATAAAATGGATACTTAGCCATAAATACATAAGACAATAAAAATAAATCTACACTAAGCAGCTAGCCAGAATGTCACAAGGAACAAAACCAGAGTGATAAACAAATCTAGGAAGAGGCTAAACATTTGTGATTTGAACATAAAGGGGATATCGTATTTATTTTTAAAATGTAAGATCTTCAAATAAAGAACGACAAAATAAATTGCAAAATAATATGTCTCACTCAAAAATACATCTTTTGTTTAAATAGGTGTGTACTAGAAAGTCATATGACAAGAGTATCTTTTGGATACTCTGAGGGATTTGGCAGCTGGTGAATATACCAGTGTTATTTAAGATGGAGATCTGGAACATGGATATCATTACCTCCACAAAAACCAAAAATTAAACATGTAAGTGGCAATGAAAACTTAGGAGATGAAGGCAGTGTGTGCTGAATACAATATAAATTTTGGACACCATAGGTTCAAGCATGCTTCCTCAGATGGCAATTATGTTTTTCTTTTTGAGTATTGTAATACATCTTTGCCAGGATGTAGGTAGTACATGATACTTCAGCAGAGGGCAACCATAAGCTTCGCCGAGTTTGCCCTATGCAAGTCCTCTTTCTGTTTTAAGAAAAACTACAATCATAAATATAGTGTTCTTCTGAGTTCTATAATTCTTTCTAGGGAATGATTAAATCTGACGAAGTACCTGGGGACCCCAGAATTTTTAATCATTAACTTCAAGTAAGTAAAGGTTTCTAGAGATCCCAAAACATGGGACTAATATCTGAGTGGCGGTAATCTTGTGAGAAGTATGCAGTTGGCCTGAACTCATGACAAGTTTTGTCACTGCTATTTCCCTAATTGGTACAATTTAGACTTATGGATTATTAGACTTCCCCCAAATTTAAACTTCAGTTTTTATAAAGACAGTGTCAAGAGAATAAAGAGACATTTATATTAACAATGAGAGAAACATTTGCAAAAGACACATCTGATAAAAAAAAAATGTTATCCAATTGAAAAGACATGGTAACAGCCCAAATGCCCAAAGGTGGATGACTGTATCAAAAAGATGTGGTACATATACACAATGGAATATTAATCAGCAATCAAAAAAAAGGAAACACATGTCCTTTGCAGCAACATGGATGGAGCTGGAAAAGATCATGCTTAGTGAAATAAATCAGAAAGAAAAGGAAAAATACCAAATGGTTTCACTCATAGCAGAAGTATAACGGACCAGGCAAGAAAATAATGATAATAATAATGATAATACCAGAGACTATTTATGGGGGTGGAGTGGGAATGGGATCAAAAACAGTGGGGGGAAGAAAATGTACTGGACTTTGGTGATGGCACATGGGTGATTTGGTGATGGGAAGCCCAAGGGGATTACAACTGAGATGGAAAAATGCACAAAATAATGTAAAAATAAACTATTATATTATTAAAAGAAAAATTGTTATCCAAAACATACAAAGAACTCTTAAATCTCAATAAAATAGCCCAATTTAAAAATGCTAAAAGAACCCAACAAACAACTCACCACGATAGACATACAGATGGCAAGTAAATATATGAAAAGATACTCAACATTTTATGTCAGCAGGAATTTCATCACAAGGATGTCATCATAAATTAAAAAGCTATGCTGTATCACTACACACCTATTTGACTGCCCAATCTAAAATACTGACAACAAATGTTGGAGAAGATGTGAAGCAACAGGAACTTCCATACACTGGTGGTAGGAAATGTAAAATGGTACAGCCATCTGGAAGGCAAATTAGTGATTTATTATAAAACTAAACAGAATCTTACCATACCATTCAGTCAAACATGCTCCTTGGTATTTACCCAAAAGAATTGAAAACTTACATCCATAAAAAAACTTGCACAAGGATATTTACAAGTTTTACTCACAACTACCAAACTGAGAAGCATCCAAAATGCCCCTCAGTAGGTGAATGGAGCCAATAATAACCAGAGACATCCTACAGGAGAGGTGGAGGGAGGTAGGGAGGAACACAGCGGACTGCGGTGATGGTGCATGGGTAAATTCAATGAGGAAATTCTAAGGGGTCTATACCTGAGGACTGGGGGGAGTAAAAATTGTTTAAAAATTAAAAAAAAAGTTAGGAGAGTATATAGAGAATCTGGCTTGTGGAATTCTGCTAGTGTTACAGATTTGTATGACAGTTTCAAGAATCTGGCTAGATCATGAAAATTTTAGAAACAGCAAATTTATGACATATCAGTATATCAATTATTTACCTAAGAAAAAAAATAATTTAAAAATACTATATAAAGAAAATACTTGCCAAATCTCTTCAGTAAGTGTCGGGGAGGGGGGGACACTGAAAATAAGTAGAATCAGATATGCTAAAAAAAAAATTGGTGAAAATAGTAAAGTTTAAGCTCTCCAATAACACAAAAGAGAAGACACAAGGTAAAATATACAGAAGAAACATACTAAATTAATTTTTTTTTAAAGATTTATTTATTTGTGCATACAGAATTGGGGTGCAGGCCACAGGCTCAGGGGCGGTGAGAGGCTTCACCAGAGACAGAGTGGGGAGCAGAACAGGCAGACCGACGAAGTACACTGCTGAGGGGAGCAGCG